ATTTACGAAATATTACTTCTGAATCTCGGCTAAATGGATTAGCTCTGTTGAATATCCACAGAGATTTGGTTCCAACGACAAATGAAATTCTTGATGAATTGGCAAATTTCCCACGAAAATTAAATCATATTATAATATGTATAAATTTTTTTATAATATTGTATTTGATTAAAATTATTTACTAATCAATATTTTACACACACTACAATTAGTATTTTCAATAAAAAAAATTTATTCTACTTATATTTTATGAGAATTTAAGCTGAGGCTAGTTCTTAAAGCAATTTTTTTTAAAAAAATGACACTTAACTTTATTTCAATTTTACATTTAAAATTTTTTTTAAATTAAATAAAATACCTATAAAATAATAATAAATTCGGTTATTACCTTTATTTCTTCTTTTATCCATAAGCGCGAATTAGTAAATAAAAGCTAAAAATATTAATATAATTATTATTGAATTATTAATGATTTAACAGAATAGCTCAAACATATGACACCCCCCCCCCCTATAGGAAAATCATGTATCCACTGCCTTAAATATAATATATATATAAAGGACTTTTCATATTCTTACTAAAAGATAAACAAATGTAAAATAATATATCGCAAAAATCATTAAAAATTTTAAGTATAAAAAATAGGAATTCGTTTTTCATGAAAATATACGTTCCGCCTATCACAAAAGAGGATGAGAAAGCCAGCTGCTTTCGGTAGAATAATCGCGGACCGAATTTCCCGCTAAACCCGATTTGTCATATCATATTGACTTGTAAAACAAATTCGGATCTACAGGGTAACTCGGTTAATCGCGTAGGAAAGGATGGGTAACTCAGCTGATCGCGTAGGAATACTTTTCCTCAAGATTCCATCAAATATGGTATAAATATTTCAAGGTATGGTTGGGTTTGATTTTGATACGTAAAAAATTATATTTTCCAGAGTTTGTTGAGTTACGAAATTTCGCCTATATTTTTTATTTTACAAATATTTTTATAAAAATTGAAATAATTATTTTATAAAATTAAATAAAATTTATTAATATTTTATGTGCCTGTGCCGATTTATGATGATTCCCTAATAAAATAAATAAACATAATTGAAAAAAAAAATCAATTAATTTTCTTTTTTTCAATCATTTTACCCTAATTAATTATAATTTAATGCATCGAAATAATTCTTCAAACGACCTCAATTTCTTAAATTTTTTTTTTAAAACTGATATTTGATTGGCATTTATCGCTACATTGATTGTCATAATTTTTTTTAATATTTGGGCAAGGCCAATGGCATTTATTAGTAAAATTACGCTTTTATAGCTTGCTCTCATTCAAAATTAATGCGAATACGCGGCGAAGTATATAAAATATGTGCGAATTCGCGACGAAAAATACAAAAAACTTGCGTATATTATATACAGGTTATTACTTATACTGTGTTGCATAAGTTATTATATACAGGTTATTACTTATACTGTGTATTCTTAAATAATATTTAAAAAATGTCTAGATTATACAATTTTTTATTTTGTTTATATATACAAAATGGCCCAGTCTAAATCTTAAGAATCTTTTTTTTTCTCTCTCAGTAATTTCTATTTTATAGCTTTTTTTGTAAATTTTTCTCCTAGTGCTTGTAGATCGTATGACGTGAGAAAACTTTTGAAGTTTTTATATTAATTTGAGAAAATTAATTTTTAAACCAAGTTTGGGATATGGCCTAAAACAAAAATTGTTACTCAATTCAAAGATTTCAATTAAAGGAATTTTTTTATAATTGGATGAAATATATTCAAAATCAAATATTATATCTAATATAAAATTTGGGTTAGAGTAATTTAATCATTTTTATTAATGCCCTGTCAAATCTGACAGATCGTGTGGTTATAAAAAGAATAGAAATTGAAATAAATCAGCTGTTCCTCTCCCATATAGTTATGGTGCATGTTAACTGGTTAAAAGAGAATTTGATATAAAAGTTAAATATTCAAAACAATTAAAAAAAATATATACATTATATTTTAACTTTAATAGGTATTTGTTTGCAACAATTTTAATGTCAAAATCAAAATATTTTCGAAATTTAACAATTTAATTGATATAGATTAATTAATACCGTAACTTAGATTTAAACAAAAGCATTTCATATAGTTTTAAATGTTTTTGTCAAAAAATTTGAATTTTCAAGGATATAACAGTAAATTTAACACATATACAATAATAGTTTTTATATATTTATATTTATGGTATAAATTTTAACAAAAAAGCAAGATATAATTGTTATTTATAAATTATAACTTGAGTTTTATAATTTTCCACTTCTCATGTACGATATTTGAAATCCGAATAATTGATTCATTAGAAAACGGCTAAAGTTTTTCCAGAGTTTTACTTCGAATAAAAAGTTTTTTTTTTCGAAATTAATAAAACAATAAAAATAAAAACCAAATTTTAATAAAAAAAATGAAAAATAATAAAAAAAATACTAATAAAAGAAAAACTTTATATCAAAAAAAAATTTGTTATGTTGTAGGCAAATTTTTTAAAAATTATTTTTTTTGTATAATTGTAAAATATCATATCATCAAAGAGAATTATTTTTAAATCCTCAAAAATTTATTATAACTCCTGTGTGATTATAAAAAAAAATATATATAAATGAAAGATGGGAAGATAGGCATAATAAAAATAAATTAAACGCCAATAAAAATATAAATTTTATGACTTTTTTTTAAAAAAAAACAATCATTTTATAAGCTATAAATTTTAGAACTTATCTAATTTGGGCATCACCTAACGAACCTTATCATTTAGATTTGTGATATGAAATTAAAACGCGATGGCTTCGAGTTTTACAAATCTCTAGCACTGTCAAATATATCTTTTCTTCTTCTAAAATTAGAACAACCAAAATGGCGGAATGTAATAAGTATAACTGCAGATTTTTTATTTTTAAAAAAGTTGAAACAGCACATTTAACTTCTTAAATAAAGCTATAAAAATGTGGTTTATTTTACAGCCGTTATACAAAATAAAAAAATGAAGATAATAATAAAAATCGGCAAATAAATAAATTTTTAGCATTTTCTTTTCTATATCCAAATTGCTAAATAAATACTAAATACTAATAATTATTATTATTGTGATTTATGTTTTTAAATTTATATAATCGTTAAAAAATATATTTTTTCTTTGATAAAATTCATGGTAGAATAATATTTTTTTTTAAAAAAGCACATATTAACTTAGAAAGTATAATGATAGTCCCAATAAAGCACATAAAATATAAATTATTTAAAAAGTCTGAAAAAAATAAGCAAAAAACAGAAAGAATGTTAAATTTTGTCCAAAATTAATAATTAAAATTTCTTAAAAATGTGAGTTAATTCCTTGCAATTTTTATATAAGAATTAAACATAAAATAATTTTTTTTCAGACAGTCATTAGAAGTTATAAGATTTTTGGTATTATTTTAACAACAAAAATCGCACATGGTTTACCATTATTCATTTATATATTATCCAACCATATCCTCTAAAAAAAATATATACATTTTAATAAATATAAATTTATATAAAGATATATAATGATAATTTATTATACTTAAATATTCATTATTTTTATTAGTATGATAATGGCTTTAACGTATTTTATAAATTTGAATTTATTATTTGATGTGATTGGCCCAGCCGCTTTTCAAACATTTAATTTGGATTTAGTTTATTTAATTCGGAACTAATTTAAAAAATAAATAATTCCCTACTAAGGAAAAAGAAATAAGGTAAAAATTTTAATTATTATTATGCAATATATCAGTGGCGTGATAATGTCACCGGTGAACCCCTCCATCTAACCTTTTCTATCTGAAATTTTCAGGCATCCTCCCCCATATTCCTCCTGATGTGCGCAACTCCCTTTGCCCTGTTGTTACGTCACTGTATTTTATTGAATTATATATTTTATTACTTCATGCCCAGTGAGTGCATACGCTAGCTTTCAAAATATAATTCTAAATCATTATCAATAAAAATTTGGACCATTTTACCCCGTCGTTTAAAAATATTTGAAAAATTAAGGCGTAAAGGAAATTAAATCGTCTAATTTCTCTAGGAGAATTTAGAAAATAAATTTTAATTTAACAAGGTTTTATATATTATAAAATAATTTTTGAATTCTGGTGAATGAAAATGGGTTAATTGATAACTCAATATTTTATAATAAATGATTAATTTATAAATTTCTGAATATTAATTAACAGTTAATTTAAATATCATTGCCCTCTTAATAAAAAATAATAGAATGTATTTACATCTTTTAGGTTTATTGTACTATCTAATCATTAAAGTTAAATCTATTAAAATATTGTTCACATATTTACTCTACTCTTGCATTTTAATTATCAAAAGTTTTTCATCTTTACTGTTTTTGTTAATACCACTAAAAATTGTAAAAAGGTTAAGTATATATAAAAATGGAAATGTCTTTCCTGTTTATATTTCTTTTTGATGTCAAGCCGAAGCATTTTTAATAAATTTTCACTTTTTATTAATTGTTCTTTAATCTTTTCAATAATTTTATTTGGTTATCCGTCAAGACAGGACTCGATATCAATTTATAAATCTTGATTTTATTTGATTAAAGAATTTTTTAAAATATTTAACTTTAAAAAAAAATATAAATATTTGCAATGCAATTTATAATTCATAATGTCATAAAAACACTTATTTGATTTTATGGTTTAAATTTGTATTTTTTAAAAAAATTTTAATTTTTTTCTTTTATATCTGGTCACTATCTAATTTTACTTTTGTCTGCCGAAATAAGATTTAAGTTTATTTTTAAAAAAAGAAATAATTTCGGCATGAAGTAGTATCCAATTCTTCTTAATTATTAAAAAAATAATAATAATTAAAAGCAAAATTCAAGTATTATATTACAAATGAAAACCAGGCGTCAATCAGGATACATTTATAATTTGCTCAAGTCAAAAAGCAATAAAATTATATTGCATAATAAAATTATACATTTATTATTCATTCATTTCACAATGATCTTCTATTTTACCTTGTATAATTTCTTAGTATATTTATTAAATTTATTTTAATATAGAATATATTTAGTAAATACTAAATATAATAATAAATGAAATATACAGAAAGTTCAGCCAACAAAAATGTTTTTTTTATCTTACAAAATATATATTTTACATAAAAAGTAAAAAATATGTGGATGGGAAGGTTGGGTTGAGTTATTTTATAAGTTATAAACGACACATTTAAAAAAAAATAAACGCCATTGAAAGCTAAAATTGTCTTTTCGCGGCATTTTTTTTCTTAAGTTCGCTAATTAAAGAAGTTTTTGTTAAGTTATTTATTGGAGATCTTTCTTTAAAAATTTAGAAAATAAATAATTTGAAAGGTAAAAAAAACAGTATATAAAAATATATTAGTAATGAAATGATTATAAATTCTACGAAGGGGTAATAATTGCATTGGATTAAAATGGAAGAATTTTACCAAAATAAAAATTAATTATTAATTAAACCTATTATATTTTGGCTAACTTTTATACGTATTAAAAAAAATATATTTTATTTTCAAAAATGAATGTTCTTGTTGTCCTTTTTCCATTTCATCCTTCGATTCTGAAACCAAATTTTGACTTGCCGTTCGGTAAGTCCCAGGCCAGCGGCTATTTCGTATCTTCTCCTTCTGGTTAAATAGCGATTGTAATGAAATTCTTTCTCAAGTTCTAGAGTTTGATGCCGGGAATAAGATGTTCTACAACGTTTAGGGTCGTTTTCGTCTTACAATATGGATTTGGAATATTAGCATTTAAAAAATAACGTTGTTTAGGAAGGAATTATATTATATTTATATCGATTTTTTTTTAAAGTTATAGTCTGATCCATATAATCCAGCAATAAAAAGGTTATTTTTCAAGGGAAACAAACTATATAAACCCCCCCCCCCACCCATCATTTTTCCAATAAAAATGCTAAAAATAACTCAATTTTATATTACAATTCATTTTCTTAGTCATGGCTAAAGGACGAGAGAAAAAAAATAAACACGTAAGCAAATGTCCTAGACAAATATAAGACAAAATTATCACAATTTTGGAATAAACGCGTAATCCTTTTGTCAGTGGGTATTTTTGTCCGGGGCATTTAGATCCGTGATTCAAAAATAATAAATTATTAATAGGAAAAACCATTGACTATTGTTGAACCGCTGTAATTGGTGGAATTGCAGGAATTTCCGTGGATTTTTAGCATCCATGGGTATATAATCTTGGCATTGCTCGCCATGTTTTGATCGTAATGATGAGATTCCATAGTAGATATTTTTTCATTCTGAGTAACAAAATTTGTCAAATCCTTATTTTCTTGATTATGTATGTTACCGTTGTTATGATGTTTGCGGCGGGAAGTTTCTTGCGATAACGAATCGCTAAAAGGCGGTGATAACGAAGTCAGCTGAGAAGGCGAACTAGATTCGTCGCTTTCTTCTTCTATCACTTCTTTTTTGATCGTTTTGGCTAATAATAGGCGTTCATTACATTGTTTGCGGAGCGGGGACGAGTAGGCGTTGAATGTTTCCGCGAAATTTTGGGCCGAGTCCATATAATAAGCGTTATCGACCACGTTGCTTATCACCCTATCCAAGCCCGTTTGATTGAGGTATTCGTATAGATTGCCATTTTCATAGTTATCATAATGCTGGGTAGCGGCTGTTGTTGGAAGGTGGCTATTATAGAAATTCGGGTATGGCCTGATCGCTAGAGCATCTTTGCCACAATCGTCTAAATAGTCATCTACGCGAGGTTCTTTCTCCTTAAGGCAGTCGGGGTAAAATGGCGTCTTGTGATGAGATGACCACAAATAAGGGTGAGAATAATAGTTTGAGCTGGTTATAAGGCTAAAATCGTTCATTTTAACAAAAAATTTAAAGGTATATATTATTTGTCAGTTTTTCCTTACGTTTCACAAATGAAAAAACGAAAACTGGAACGATATCAGCTGGGACTTTTTCGCAAAAATAAATAAATAATATTGCATAATATTGATTTTATGTTGTTGTTTTTTACACAAAAAATATCAGTTAAAGATCTTGATAAGAACTTCAAATGCGTATAATTATTATATTTTGAATGTATCCTAGTAACGAATAAAGAAGATAGCAGGGGCGTTTTAAAAAAAATGTTATTTGATGTGATTCCTGCTAATTTTTATGTTTTTTTCCCTTCTTTACATGTGGATGTAAATGTTAATGTAGTACACGTATAATGTTTTTTTTAAATATGATATAATTAATGACTAGATAGTAAATTTTATTTGAGTTATTAATTAGAGGGAAGAATAGTGGTATTATATAAAAAAAATAATAAATTATAATTTTTAAAAAAATTTTAAAAAAACTATCAAAAGTTTAAATAGAATAATGATAATTATCTGAAAATAAAAAAAATTTATTAAATTTCTTGTTTACATTTATTTTATATTTTTTCTAAAAATATAATATTTTACCACAAAATTATCACGTGGAATCTGACATGATTACAATGTAAACAAAAATGGCGAAAATTTTGTGATATTTGAAGAAAAATTTTTAAATTTTAAACCTATGAATGAATAAAACTCTAAGAACGACTATTCTTTATAAGATGGAGATTTAAAAAAAATAAGTATTTTAATTTTTATTATATAAATATATTTGTTTAGTAACTTCGTGCATTCTTCTTAACTTCTATCGGTTGCGAGTTGCTACTATAGTTAGGTGATGGCTAAATGTCGGCTATTCTTCTCAATGTTCAAGCGCATAGCGGAGAAAATCGGTTAACATTAAGGCGTTTTAATTTATATTAATTTCTTCCAAATTTGAGCTGATATCTTTTTTAAAAAAACCCCGAAAGAGATATTTTTTGGCTAACTTTAGCCGGTTAAAAATTGGCACGGCTAAAATTATAATAATTACCCAACTATATGCTACCAATTTATTTACCCTCATTTCTTTCAGCCCCTATTTTAGTTTTATTTATTGGGCGCTACCATTTTTGTTACAAAAATCTTATTTAAGATCAAATTGATTATTTTATATATAGAATGACAACATTTTATGAAATATTTTTTAAAAAATCGCGGGAAGAGAAAGAAAAGTTTTTTTAAATAAAAGGTAGCAGATGGAATTAAAAATAAAATTCAATCATTTTCAAAGAAAATGTCAAATTTTTTTTAAAAAAAGTTCAAAGTAAGAAGATGAAACAAATTTCGTGAAATTAACAAATTTAAATAATCTTGATCTCAGCTTTTTTTTTTCTTTTGAAGAAAATAAGGAAATATCGAAATTCCTAAAAAATTATATATAGTATTAAATTGAGGAAAATTGATTGACATTCGATTTTTAAAATATTTGTATTAACTTTTGTCATGCTTAAATAGTCTTCCTTCTTAAACTAATTATAAATTTTGACTACTAGGAAATTCCGGAATTTTTAAAAAGGGATGGCAATTGAAACATAAAAGACCGGGAAATTTACCTTCATCTCTTCCCATTTTTTTCAACTGATTTCTTTATTATTAATTTCAGAATTTATTTTATCTAGAATTAAGGTTATTTTATTGTGAGGATATTGAAAGCATCCTATCATGCCATACCAACTGAATGCTGATAATGTTCCAAAACCAAAAAATTCTATAGATACTTGGCTTAATTTCTAACACTTTTTTTACTATTTTCTTAATAAATAAAAATTATTGTATATTATGACAACTCTTATCAATTGGTGTAATGAAATAATATTTTTTTCTTTAACAAGACTATGAGAAGTAGTGTTGTTAAATGGCTCTATTTGAACCGATTTTAAAAACGGCTAACTGTCCAAATATATGTGCCATCTATGAACAAAATCTTTGGGTTTGCATAATATTTTTTTTGGTTAAAATATTGAGTTAGCTGTTTTAAAAATAGGCTCAAATCGAGTCAACGCTACTTAGAAGTACTACGATTGAAAAGGGGTTGACTATTCTTAATATACAGTGAGTTGAGTTTACTATATTTTTCTCTATTTTTTAATATATAAAGATAAACATTTAATATTTTATCATTGTCGATATTTTATATTACTAATCCTAATAAATTTCTAAAACTTAAGATATTCTTAAATAACTCAATAATAATCCTTAAAAAGATCTAATTATTCCCCCCCCCCATACCCACACACTCCTGCGTACGCCCCAGAATCACCATAAAGAAGAATTATAAATAAAAATTAAAGCTGATGACTTTTTTAAATAACGACTATAATTCATAATTTTTATAAAAATATAATATAGCCAAAGGCCTTTGATTAGCGGACTTAAAGACTTCTATTAAAATTTATGGCTGAAAACCCCACCTACAAGTGCCCCCCCCCCAATATCTATAGGAAAACCCTGGATACCCCCTTATGAGTTATTTCCACAATAATCAATTAAAAAAATTTAAATGTCTACAATATAAAATATTAATAAAATTTCTAATAAAAATCACTTGGGTGTTATTTTCACAAATATTTAAAAAATGATAGAATAGAACTCCGTTTCAATCACCATTATTGTACTAATTTATAACTCATTTTCTATCCAAAGGGATGTGAAGGTGGGTCATGTAAAAAAAACCCAAAAACAACGAAAATAAATTCAAAAAAAATACTAGCTCAACAAGACCCTAATCGTTATTAAGGACTCAGACCCCTCCTCTACGAAATTTTTTGTATACCACTTAACGAAATATTGCATATTCTAATTTGATTATTACCCATTAAAAAATATGATAGAAATATATATGTGCAATTTCTGATCAAAATACTAAAAAATTCGAACTCTCTCCCCTCCCAGCGCCACTCTATGAAAAAAAATTCCTTACTAAAGCGGCTAGCATTTCAATAAAATTCAGCAAATTTGATATAAAAAAATATGCGCGATACTATATAATATTTTTTTTTAAAAAAATGATGGACTAAAAAAAATTTACACAATTCTTCGTCTGGGTTGCATTTAAGAACATTTTTTTTAAAGTTTGAAAACTTCAAGGAAACCTATTGAAAAAGTTTTGAAAATTTTACAAATTTTTAATTAAATATTTTGATATTTTGGAAGAACTTTAAAATAAATATATTCTTTGGGCGTTTCATTTTATCCAAAAATTGTTGTTATATTTTTTTTTGTTAATTTTAGGGTTATTTATTTTTGTTTTAAAAAAATAATACCGCAGACATAATCAATCATAAATATGATATATAAACATTCTTTACCCTGACTGGTTAAAAAAAAAAACATTAAAATAATGTGCACTTATCAATTTCGAACATCCAAAGGTTCCTCGAGGATATCCTTTCTCTCATATTGGATAATTCGCCAAAATTATATATTTATTTTTCAAAAAATAGATAACATGTTATCCCCTTTAAGTAATTTAATGGTCAAATTGAAAAAGTATTTTACAATTTTATTTCTTTACACCCAACATTGAAAAAATATTTTTCATCAAAAAAGATAAAATAGGAAAACCAAACCAATCTAAAAAAAATATATAATATAATCAATTCAAATTTATATCATCACAGTAGATAGACAAGGAAACAAAAATAAAAGACTTTTTTTAAGATTTCAAAAATCATATAATTTGCCCCTCCTAATTAATATATATTTATTTTTTTTCATGAATATTAATGAGATTTTTTTTGTGAGCAAAGGATTCGATTTTATTGGATGAGGTTCGCAAATTTTAAAATCTTAATGAAATATTCTAGAATTATGTTTTGGAGAGTGATTTTATTTTTATATTTTAAAAATAGCTTATATATTTATTTTCATTTAAAGTTTCGAAAGTTTGTGAATTTAATTTTTTTTTTTTGACATTTTGGACACAAGTCTGAATAGATTTTCTCCATTTTAATTTAGAAAAATCTAATTTTGCCATACCCGTATAAAAGTTGTAACCTAGTGTTACGTAATGGGCTAGATTTAGCCGACCTAGTTTTTAGGTGAAAAAAATCGGCTATAACTAAATAGTTCAAAAATTAGATATAGGAGAAGAAACTCGACTGTAATAAATATAAATAAAATAATTTAATAGGCTTATCTTACATAACGTTGATGGACGATTATTCGAGCTCCTTAGCCAATGCCTAATTTTTGACTAAAGCCTAATTAGGTGGCGAGAATTTTAGCCGATTACGCTTGTACCAACCTGGCGTGTAAATTGTAGATAATTCAACTTTTGAACTATCCTATTAAAATATAATTATTTATTTATTTTTCATATAAATTTAAAATAGTCGAAATTACTAGCGAAATTATAAGAAATAACCGACTAGATGTGTATACTCTCCGGCAAAATTAATCCTATAAATATTAAGACATAATACCGAATTTGCTATTGGCGTAGGGTTTAATTAAATTTCAAAGATCTCTAAAATTAAAACATTTATTACCCGCGTTTTTTTTTAAATTTTGAAAAGACTCGATAATTCTGCAGAAATTGTGTTCTAGAATGTGTATTGGGATTTGGAATCAATGGGGATTCGAAATCTTTCGATTATAAATTATATTCTGAGGGGCAATTTTTAAATTTAAAAAAAAATCCTATTGGATCGAAAATGTATTTCCGCAGACAGTACACTTATATTGCCAATCTCTAACAATTTTAATTTTAGAACAACTTTATATTAATTTATATGGATTTTAACGGCTCAATTTTTAAAAACGGTTTACTTAATATTTTATCCAATAATATTATGCAACCCTCGAGATTGTTAATATATGTCCAAACCTTTCTGCCATATATGAACAAGATCTCTGGCTAAAATATTAGGTTAAATGTTGCCGTTTAACAACACTAGATTGTTCATATAAATTTTTAAAAAAATCCACAATTATGGGGAAAGGCGAAATTTGTATATATGTATACTCTTCTACACATGATGGAATACATTTCCAGTTAAATTCAGTAAATGATTTAAAATCGTGAGAGTTTAAATTCCCATGTATTCCATATCCCAATCAGACATATTAAAATTATTTACCCTATTAATTAATTTCAGAAAATTTTCTCGGCCAAATTTTTGAATTTATTTTATTTTTTACGTAACTTTATTTTAATAAATTTTTGTATATTTAATAAATTAAAAATCTCAAGTTAAACGCAAAATTTGACAGTCATATGGTTTTAAAATTCATAGGGTAGGCGGTATACAAATTAGTGATCTGCATTAGGCCTGATGATTTCCAATAAAAAATTTTTTATTTGTCCCGAAAAGCCCACCCGAAATTTATTTAAGTACAGAGCGCCTTGTTTCATGCAAGAATTTCAAAAAATGATGATATTAGATATAAAATTTAAGCCCTGCCCGAAATTAAAAAAATATATTATGCCCCACCCAGCCCGAACCAAATTTGTTTTAAAAATAGACCCGACCCAGCCCGGATCTCTAATACGAATGCCGGAAACAATTCAGTCAGTATATACCCTACTGAATCGCATTATTATGTTTATAATAGCATATGTCCGACATTCTTTCCGGTTTCGCTCAGTAAGAAAGAGATTTGGTATGTGGTAATTTATACCATTTTGCTACTTTAATGCTAAGCAAAACGTTAATTTCCTTTCTACATTCCATTTCAAAATATTATTTAGGCCCTCAGAAATACAATTTTTCGATTATGGGTTCAATTCAAGGAAATTGCCGTTAAAAAAAACCATTTTTTAATTTAATATTAACTCTTAATTAACCTCTTTAGCCTTTAATCATACTCCTAGATTAACTTTTTTAATTTGATATATATTTTTTGTTGAACATTCTTGTTGAGCTATTTATCCAATTTTCTTACGTTATAGGAATTGGGGAATTTACCCACTTATTAATTTATTATAAATGTTGTATATAAAATACAATTATTATAAATGTTGTATATAAAATACAATTTAAAACATTTATTTCACAAAAATTTTATATAATAATACAGTTGTTAAGTATGTTTCTTTTTAAATTGAGGATATTTTTAGTTTCAACTGGCCTTTAAAAAAAAATGCCATTTTTTATTTTTTTAATAAATCGATATTTTGATAGTGGTGGTCATGTTCTTTTTTTTTGCCTGAAATAAAAAAATATCAATGAATTTTTTTTTATTGATTCAAAATAATATATTTATATTTTTGAATTATATTTCTAGGGATTTATTTAATTTTGGGAAATGGAATCCATTTTATTTAGATCTTGTAATGAGTATAGTGCTTAGCAAAGGATAGTCTTTAGCGATCTGCATCGGGCCTAATTTTTAAAGCCCGGCCCGAACCGAAATATTTTTTAAAAAGTTTTGCCGGCCCGGCTCGAACCCGAAATTTTTTTTAAAAAAAAATTTCCGACCCAGCCCGGTCCGAATTTATTTAAATATAGAAATTAAATTTTATAATTACTCAACGCTTGTGATAGCAATCTCGGTAATTCTTAGTTCCATTATAAGCTATATATATGCATTATTATGAAGTTATCTACACAATTAAATTTTTCGATTTTTAAACCTTGAATTTTATTTCTATTGGCCATTTCACAACTTCTACTTGATTTCCTAAAAGGACCTGTGGTTAGTCTATGATTTAATCGTGATAGTATAAAACGCTAGGTAAATTTTGAAGAGTTCTTAATTTTATTTTAATGTATTCTTGTTGTCAGGAATACGATATTTTATAATTTATATGTTAAATTAATAAAATTTGAATGGACAAATATTTAAAGGAGCAATCTGGACAATTTGTGAAATTATTAATGGGGCGAAATAGGCTTCGCTGCAGATCTCTAATACCGAGCCAACTTGCATTTCTGATGTATAAACTAACTTAAATGAAAGCTTCAACTAATAGGAAATTATATATAAATTTTTAAAACTTCAATAATAGTTAGAATCATAAACATAAAATTGTTGCCATATGTTTTTTTTCTCTCCTCCCACATAATTTTTGAGGTTGAAAATGAAAATGTAAATTTTTTTTTAACATCAATTATTTTGAGATTTACATTATAAAATAATAATAAAAACAGGCCTTTGAGGGATTTACAAAAAAAAAAAACAATTATAATAATATCAAGCAAAATAATTATATCAAAATCTGGAAAGTTTAAAAAAGCTTATATAATAACAATAAGCATAATGTATTTTGTGGGGGAAACAATAAATTGCACAAAAATACCCCAATTTATTTATTCATTTCAACTTTAAAATTCCCCTTTTCTATATTTTTTCTGTGTCTTTTGGACTTTATAACTTAAAATTAAAGATCAGGCATAATGTATACAAGTGGGGCTTAAATAAAATCCTTTCCCCTCCCTTCCGAAAAACCCTACCTAAAATGAAAATTATTTGTCCAGGCCGGTCAGAACTAATTTTAACATAGAAATTGTGTTTTAAAATTTTTATATTTCAAAATTTAAGTCCGCCCCCGAAGCCCGTTCGGTGCAGATCTGCAGATTTAACGAATAAATGAAATTATTCATATAAATAGCCGTTTTATTTTTTTGAGCCATTCTTGTTTTTTTTAAGATCATAAAATTAAGGATTTTTTTTAAAAGATCAAAATCATGAAATATGCAAATAGAACTTGATAATTATTAAATATTATTTTAAATGACCCTTTTTTTATAAAAGAATATCAATTTATTTGAATAAAATGGGTGTTATATTAATTACTTAAATATGATTTGGATGATAATGTGAACTTGGGGCTATTTATTATATGAGATTGAGATAAGTCATTTTTTTTCAAGAAATCTACACACTAATTTTAAAATCTTTTTATTGGGTCTCACATTTTAATTATAATAATTATCTATTATGTATAAATGACAAATTTTTTCCCGCAACATCCCCGTAGACTTACTTTTCTTCCTGAAAATTCGTTCCCCCAAAAATGATAGAAACAAAAGTATAATTTAGATGATTTTTATTGAAGGATAAACCCAAGTAAAAAAAACTTATACAAAATGACTTATTTTTTTATGGGGCTTAATAAGACCCCGGTCTCCTCTATTCAAAATAGTCGTCACTCAAAATACGTATTTTATATCCAAATTAAAATTAAAGAACCATAATTAAATCCCTTAATTGTTACAAACGTTTTTCTTTCAATTATTTGATAATATTTAAATTTTAAAATAACTTTAATTGGCAAGGAATATATTTTAATTCCCTTTTTTTTCCTTATAGAAAAATGGAATTATTATTTGATTTATAAAAAAAAAAATATTTACCTTTTAATTTATATAAACTCATTGTTCAAAGATCCATCAAATTATAAAAACTATTTATATAAAATTAATTATTTTAATTGATAAGAAGAATCAAAATCATGCACGAGAGGCATAAATTATATTATTATTATATATCTTTTTTTTTAGATAATTCAATGAAATTGTTTTAAAAGGATGACAAGAACCTTACCTCAAGATTACTCGCTAAATATTAAGTCGTATGATTGCGTATAATAGCAAAATATTCGAAAAATATATTATATTATTATTCTATTACATTTTGCTTTTTGTAAATATAAAAATATCACAATTTATTTGGACACTTGTTTTGTTCAAAAAAAAAATGGTTATAATTCTTTAGGAAGAGAAAAATAATTATTTTTTTGAATACATTAAATATATTATATAGTATAGATTATTGTTTACAGATTCTCTTTTTTTTGTGTTAAAGGTTATTTTTTGTAATTGGCCTTGTAATTTAAATTTTATTTATAAAAAAGACACAATGTGACAAAGAATGATAGACAGTCGCAAAATTATAATGTTAAAAAAAATATGTCGAAGACTCAGTGAAATAGAAACAAGAGTTTGTCTCTCCTTTATATTACTTCTTAATTCTGTCAATTTCCGAAAGACTGAATTAAAATTTTAATAATTAATATTCTTCCAATATGGAAAAAAAAATGCCCACAATTACATATTAGGAATTCTCAATAATTTATTGAGGGAAGGGGGTCAACGACTTATCAACAGTACTATAGAAATTCATATATATCTCTATAAAAAATATTAGTGTAATTTTAATTAATAGGGGAGATTGGGGTTAGGTAAATAATTATTACATTATTCGAAATGGTGTGAAAAACAAATCTATTAAAATTAATAAAGGTCAATCATTTAATATTAAAAATTATCTAGAAGTATACTAAAATTTGATGAATTAACAATATAATTATGAAGATTATAAATCAATAAGGATCACAAGCCAGCTTATAGGTAAATTTATCTACATAATCTGTTTTATTTTTAAGATATAATCACAATCATTTTATTTAATTTTAAACAATGCAAATCAAATTTTATTAAATTGAGATTATGTAAATAAAAATCTAGATTGTAATGGTAAAGAAATTAAAATATTTATATAATTACTAGTTGATAACCCGTCAAGAATGACGGGAATAATAAAATCTTGAACTATTATATGAATTTTTTTTAAATATACATTTTTTTATATAAAATAAATGACAAATTTTAGTGATTATTTATTCATTTTATTTAATTTAGCGTAAAATATATGAAATTGTAATCAAAAATGTAGTGTAGATATTGATATTGTATGTCATTTCCAGAGTTCAAATATTGTTGTTGAGATAAAATTTTTATACTGGCATATTTTGGGGTGGTAATATGAGATAAATGTATTGGCTAAATATAATTTAAATTTATTTGTTAAATCTAAATTATAATAAGTATTTAGAATTAGTGAGAGAGGTTAATTTTCTGGCATGAGAAGATATTAATAAATAGGTATTTTATACTATTTGCAGAGCTCCCATGTGGTTGAGTTTAAAAAAATTTTACTACCATATTTTGGGGTGGTAAATAATTTAAATTTATTTGTTAAATCTTGTAATATAAAAATTAATAAATTTTACTTTATAAATACTTATGCAAAAATTAATATGAGATAAATGTTCATTTTTCAATTGGCTAAATATAATTTAATTTGCTATTTTAAATTTAATAATATTCATCATAATTTGAGGTGAGGTTAGTATTCTTTTTAATATAACACAATAAAATCTAAATTATATAAATTAATCGAAAAATATGTTAATAGCAAATTAATAACATATATAAGAAAGTTTATATTACAAAATTTAATATAGAAGACGTTAAGTCATGGATTCGAATCCCGTGATGTACAAAAAATTTTCTTAAAATTTAACATTAGATATATAGTCTCCATTGATTTATTTAACATTAAGAAGATAGGAAAGTTGGTAGAAAAAATTAAGATTATATGAAAACGTTTATTTCTTGATTACGGTGATTATATATATAGATTATATATTATTTTTAAATAATATTATTGTATTACTATTTAAGTTATAATCTAATATTTAATTTGGCATATTTTTTATGAAATATTGCAAGAGATATCAAGAAAGTTTAATATTTGCAAGATAAAAATAGTAAAAAAAAATTATTCACAAAGATATTTTCCTTTGTTGTATACTTGATTATATAAGATATCATAAAGGCGAAATGTGGTACCAATTTAGAATGTGCCAAGGATGGGCACATGATAAATGTTCAAACATCGATAATTTTTATATATAATTTGCTACAATATAAAAGTATTATGATATTTTGAACAATAAGATTATCCTATACGTATCATTAATAATAAATAAAAATGTTTCATTATAGACCTGAAAAATTAATGTTTTAGGAAAGCCCCTTGAAGTGGTTTGCTTAACTCTGCTATTGAGGCTTTGGACAAAATTTCCATTTTTACGATAAATTAAAATTTAAAAAATATGATATTCTTAAAATTTTTTATAAGGCACCTTTATAGAGCATAGTTTTAGGTAACTATTCATATATTTTTTTTTATAATATCTAAAAAAAGACAGGAGCTATGGTGGATTTTGTAAAAATCGGTTTGACTAGCCCCAGTATCCCCTATCCTTTAACCAACTAAAGAAAATGGTTTTTATATTTTATTTTGTTATAAAAATTTAGTCTCAAGTTAGCGATAAAGCGCATTTCAATGTAGAACATTTGAAATATAATTACTGAAAATAACATTTTCGTTAGTAGACGAGTGTCAATAAAACCTTTTAGGGTAGTTTGAAATTAACACTGTCAATTTTCTTTACTCCACGAGGGAAAAAGGAAATTTTATCTATTTTACTTCTTTCTTTTTTGCTTTATCCCTGGAATTATGTTTATATGAATGACTCTGGAATTCTTAGTATATGAGATAAATCTAATTTTGTATTATTTGGATATTTATTGATATAATGAAATGCCAAAATAAATTTTCCCAAATAAAATTTATTTTTTTTGGAAATATATATCCAACCAGAAGGTCTCCTTAAAAAAATGAACGTATGATAGCTAAGCATAAAAATACATATTCTTTCCAAGTTCAAGTCAAAGGGTTAAAAATTTATAACCTACTATTGTCATTAAATAGTCCCAAATAAAATATTTTAAGGCCCATATAATATATACGCTATATTTAAGATTGAGATAATTATTTATCTTTTAAAGAATTTGAAAAATTGTAAACCTTTATACTTTTAAAGCAGAAACCATAGTTAAAATCAGTCATTTGCTTATCTCTAATGCATACCATCAAACATAGGCTTTATTTTATATTTTAACTAATTTTAAATATTTTTATTATGGAATGGTACTCCGTTTCCTAAATAATAGTCTACATTTTTATGGAGGGGTCAAAATTCCAATCATTATTATTTTTATATCGATATCTAGTTAGGCTTGTAAGACAAAGTGCTTTTTGCCTTGCTTGTGGTAAAATTCAAATCTTCTAGTTTTCTAATTTTAAAATAATTCCAAAAACTTGAACGGTTCTATATTCGATCGAGTTCTAAGAGCATATTTGAAACGACCATTAAAAATTTGGGGAAAAAATTGATATTAAATATCTATTTAGCACAAATCCATCATTTTTGAATAAGAATTACATTTATCCTTGAGTATTAAAGATAATAATCTTTTTCCCATGAACACTTAAAACCAAATAATAGAAATTAGTATTATATATAAATTAAGTCAGTAATTTTTTATTAATAAAAATTAATATTTGTTCAGTAAAAAAAATAATTTGATTTCAAATGTTTAGTGGTTCGAGAAGTCTATTCATTCTAAGCTTCTCTATTAGACAGAGGATTAAGGAGACTTCCTAGCCATACGGTTACTTAGACGAATAAGGACAATTCACTTGGTTAAGTCCTACATTAAGATAATATAAAACACCGAATTAAACAATTACTTCTCAAATGCTCATCCAAAGAAAGAAAATCAAAAGTTAAAATTAATAAAAACAAGAGCAAAAAATTCAAGGTTTGAAACAAAAAGGAAGTATCAATTTAGTTAATACTAAGGTTATTATCAATATCCATCATACGGGTTAATATTCTCTCTTGCATATTAACGAATAAGTGTTAGTAAGATTTTTACGCGGCATGTATACCATTAGATTTATTACCCCTTCAAAGTACATGTGAAAAATGACCGAAAGTCTAGGTATGGTTCTCTCAGACCACAATGTTATTTTAAGATTCTATTATTTTATAATTTTATGACAGCTTTTGCCAAGAGAGTCAATAAAAAATAAAATTGAGTTTTACAACAAAAAAGCAACGGATGATGTTGAAAATATTTTTAAAAAACAATACCACCAACATCGAGGGAATAAAGGAAAATGTTAAAATACTATATTAAGTATTATTTTTTAAAACATGCAGAAATATTAATATTTAGGTAAAAAAGATTGGTGAGAATGTTCAATAAATAATGGAAATTACTAAAAATTAGCAATTCTTTTTTTTATAAATAAAATTTTCAAATATATCAAGTTAACTTCATTTCATAATTTTTTTTTTGTTTTTTAAATTAGTGTTGACGGCTCGTTTTGAGCATATTTTAAAAAACGGCTAAATATTTTAGACAGTAAAATTTCGAAAATAAATGTCTACACCTTTATTCCTTCTATGAACAGAATCTTCAGGGTTGCGTAATATTTTTCTGGATGAAATAGTTAGCCGAACGAGCCGTTTAACAACACTACTTTAAATTAAAATATGCCATGATACAAATTTCATCATGTATACGAAAACTTAATTGGACAAAAAGGGAAATAATGAAAGTTAAGAACACATTTTTTTTCTTCAAATAGTAGCAGACGAAAAGATCATAATATAAACTGTGTAAGAATGATAAATGCTCCATCAGAAAATGATATTTTACTTCTAACTGCATCAGCATGCGCAGATTCCTTACCTTATTTTCCCCAAAATTCAATACAACTAATTTATATTTCAATGAAAGAATTCCCATGAATGCCTGATTGTTCTATTATTTGTATTGTTTAATTTATTGTATATAAAAAATTTGCAATAAAATATTAATAATTGTAGCAATAAATTTTTTTTCCGCCAAATTATATTAAAATGCCACAGTATGATATTTAAAAAAAAATTTGATAATGTAGAATGTTTATCTTAAATATTAATATAATATAATTTTTAATTAATAAAAAAAAATAGTGTTTTTTTATAGAATATGGCAATGCTAAAACGGATGAAATAAAGTTACATGCATGACTTGCTGGGGTATGCGGATCCCAAGCTAAAAAACCGTTTTAAATAATTAACTACAAAACAAATGGAAATTCTAAAAATTTTAATCTAAAAAATTC